GTTCCCAGGAAAAAAAAATGTTCCCAGTATTACTACTAAATGGAAAATGTTACCAAAAAAGGAATCTGGCTACATAACGCAAGTGAAAAAGAAGATAAACTATTATACTGAGCTTACCGTTCAAGAGGGAGACCAAACTTCTTATAAGCCTTGATGAACCTGAGAATAGGATCAACAAAATACATTTAAAAACAGAGACTTTAGTTATGTTAATGCCAACATATCCTGTGATGTTGGCACATTATTTACTAAAATGTCCAGTTTTTAACAAAAAAAACATGGGGGACACACACATATTAAAGTATGATGCATACACAGGGGGGAAAAAGCAGTTAATTGTCAAAAATAGACTGGGTCCAAAGCTTGCAACTACCACTAAATAAGTGTTGAATGTCTTTGAAACTAGTCAATTTAAAACAATATTCAAATTAAAGATCAACTTTATTCACAGTGACTGATCATAAAACTGTTTAGATACAATAGAGAAATGCGACTTAGCTCTAATATCCTTTTTAGAAGGTACAGGTTTATGGAGTTCAATATGTAATAAATGATTCAACCACAACTCTACTATGATAAAGCCCCAGTATAGTTCATTAGCCTATTCAGTCTACTACCGTTACTTTCAATTCCATATTACAATAGTTTTTATTATTTTCTGGTCAGTGATATGGCTGTAAGATTTTTAGGACTGTCTCAAATACTTTTTGGAATGAGGCAAAGTAAAATAAATAAATTCAATCTAGCCTTCTCCAAGTCTCTGACCTCAACCCTGCTATACTAAACCCTGCTATACTACTAACCTTGTTAGTCTGTCATCATCCCGTCCCCAGGCCTACAGGCTAACCACTAGCACTTTCACTAAAAACTAAGACTTCACAACACACCAAAGACATCACTGTAATATGCCAAATTACTATGATAATCTGATTATATAACAATGTAAGGAAAAATACTAAAAAAAAAAAATTGAAGTTCTCTGAGAAAATGTGGTAACAGAAGAAAACGGAGCTGAATATGACATTAGCTAAGAATATTAAAGGAATGGCATGCATATAAGGATTAGGAAAGTATTATCTATGAAAGTAAACCTGAAAATTATTCTTAACTCCACAGTTCTCCTTCTTGATATACCTGGAGATATTTTATGTCTAAACTATATGATGTTTGGGACTTATTTAAAACGAATACTGAGGGAGAGAAACACTTCCAGAATGGAGGATTAAGAAGTTGTGAAAATCTGCTCCTCCATAAAAGCAACAAGAACACTGGCAAAAACTGTCAAAATCAACTTTGTTGGAACTCTGGAAATTAACCAGAGGCTTGCACCATCTAAGAGGTATTTATTCAAGAAAATGGCTCAGTAAGAACAGCAAGCTTTCTGGAATTTTTAACTTGCTCTATCCCATCCTCTTCTCCCCAACTCCATGACAGCCTGAAAACCAACACCTTCGCTGTGCCAACTAGCAGCCCAGCATCTGCTGGAGGTGAAAGAACAGGTTTGGAGCTCCTCAAAATCTCTATCCCCAGAGAATGATTTGGCCTGGCTGACAGTACTCTGAGAGCTCCATTCTCAGGCTTGCCTTTATTTGACCCATCTCAGAACTCACTCTGTGTGAACAGCCTTGTCCACAATTCATTGGTGAAAAGCTATTAGATGCAAAGGTGGTTTAACATAACAGCAGCCTGAGGCAACATTACCAACTGAAGATAACAAAAGGCTGAACAAAACCTAAAAGGAAAAACTGGGGGAAAAGATGTCCATAGGGTTCTCTCTGACACACGTGCAGGTCTGTGTACACGCACAGGAAAGGTTTGAGAAGGTCCTAACCTCTCAATTCTGTTGAGGATCTGTGCAAGAAAGTTAAGGTAGAGTAGCATGCCTGCCAGAGCATTGAAACATGCCCCAACATACACACCAAGATCTGCAACAAACGCTGGCAGAATTACAGGCTCTGAGCATTTAAGAAAATTAAGGAAATCTCTGTCCAGTCATTAGCTGGTCATTAAGCTAAAGGAATAGAGACTGCAAATGACATGATGAAGAATACAGACTTCAAAGAACTTGTCCAGGAAAGTCACTGAACAAGCAAATAGCAACAACAGTAGCAAATACAACTAACTCCGGCTGGCAGGGGAAATCCAATTTCCAGAGTTGGCTCAAATGTCCAGTTTTCAACAAAAAATTATGAGATACACAACACAAAAAAGTAAGATGCCTATACATGGAAAAAAAGCACTTAATAGAAACTGTACCTGAGCAAGCCCAGAACCTAGGCTTATTAAGATATCTTAAAACTTTAATCAGCTATTATAGATACGTACAAGAACTACAGGAATCCATGCCTAAAGAATTAAAAAGAAAGTATGACAATGATATATCACCAATTAGAAAATATCAAGAGAAATAGAAATTTTAAAGAAGAGGCCAGGTGCAGTGGCTCACACCTGTAATCCCAGCACTTTGGGAGGCTGAGGTAGAAGGATCACTTGAGTCCAGGAATTCAAGATCAACCTCTGGAACAGAGTGAGACCCCGTCTCTTGAAAAAAAAAAAAGAGCCACATAGAAATTCTGGAGCTGAAAAGTGCAATAACCGAAATGAAAAATATCGCTAGAGCAGCTCAACAGCAGATATGAGTCAGCAGAAGAGAGAATTGGCAAACTTGAAGATAGACCAATTGACATTATCCAGCGCGAGAAACAGGAAAGAAAAAAAAAAAGACTTTCCTTTAAAAATGAAGAAGTTAAGACATTGCCGGATAAAGAAAAATAGAGAATTAATTGCTAGCAGACCTGCCCTAAAAGAAAATACTAAAAGAAAGTCCTTTGGGCAGATATGAAATGACATTAAACAATAACTGAAACCCACATAAAGAAATAAAAGCACCTGTAGGGTGTTAAGTAAATGTAAAGACAGCATATGTGCATTTTTGCTTGTTAACTCTCCTTCTCCTATCTATTTTAAAAAAGACAACTATATAAAGCATTAATTATAAAACTATATTGATAGACTTACAATGTGTAAAGATGTAATTTGTGTGATGACAACATAAGGTGGGGAATGAGCTATAATTTGAGCAAAGTGTTTATATACCATCGAAATTAAATTGGTATAAATACAAACTAAACTGTTCTAAGTTGTTACTTATAATGTCCATGGCAACCATTAAGAAAATAACTTAAAAAAAATAGTAAAAAAAGCAACAAGGTAATTAAAATGGTATACTAACATACTTATATAACACAAAAGAAAGCAGTAATGGGGAAATAAAGAACAAAAGACATATGACATATAGAAAAAACAGCAAAATGCAGATATAAATTCTACTTTATTTATAACTGCATTAAATGTAAATGATTAAAGACTCCAACCAAGAGGAAGAGTTTGATAGAAAAAATTTTTTAAAAAGATCCAACACACAAGTTAGATTCAAAGACACAAATAGGTTGAAATAAAAAGATGAAAAGAGATAACATCTTTATTTCAAATATCCAAGAGAGCCAGAGTGGCTATACTAAATAACAGACTAAAAAATAGACTTTAAGACAAAAATTGTTACTAGAGACAGACATTTCATAACGATAAAAAGGACAATCCATCTAGAAGACCCATCAATTGTAAAAATATATACACCCAACAGAGTCCCAAAACACGAGAAGCAAAAACTGACAGAATTGAAGGAATTAATAGACAATACAACAATAACAGAGACTTAAATACCCCATTTTTCAATAAAGGATAGAAAGAGACAGAAAATCAAGAAATGAAAGGACATCAACAACATGAAACCAAATATACCTAACAAATACCGATATAGAAGATTCTACCCAACAGCAGAAAACATACTCTTCTCAAAGTAATATGGGGGTAGGGAGCAAGAGGAGGTAGGGCATACATACAAGATTGACTACAAAATGCAGAATTGTTGAGATAATAAGTACAAGAGTGGGGATTGCATAGTCTGTTATGTCAGTATTTGGATATATTTACATTTTTCCATAACAAATTAAACAAAGAAAGAAGAAAACAGATGTAACGTTTAGGTGAAAACAAAGACCTCACAGTTTCAAATATATTGACCTTAAAGGACTATTTAATATAATACGCATTGGGCCTTAAAGCTAACTATATTCGTACTTCGTATTTTCTTTAGCCTTAAAAAAAAAAATGACATGGAAACTGGAAAAAAATAATTTGGATGCAGCAATTTCAGATCCTTTTTCTTGGAGGGCAGATATTAATAAATGTGTAAGAAGTATTCACATAAAAGATGTCTGAAATTGATTTTAAGTGGGGGGGAAAAAGCAAGCTGTTGAACAATAAACCAAACTAAACCATCTAAACCAACTGAACCAAACTAAACCATCACCAAACTGATGCCAGCACTAACACTGATGGCCTGGGATTTGGAGCGGGGGTGACAGGGAGGGAAGAGGTAGTGAGGGCAGCCTGATTTGTACCCTTTTTAATTTTGATATTTATATCATTTCTTTTATACACAAATACACAGGTCTGCATATATGTATGTCGACTGTCTCCCCAGGGCTGAAGTTTCTTTGTAAAAATGTTCTGAATAACCAGAGAACAGGAGGGAAACAAAAACAGATGAGCAATAAGCAAAAAAGATCTTAACTGAGGAGAACCTAGGCGAAGGAAGAATCATCCTGAAGATCTGGGGCATTTCTCAGCTTCTCTTGCTTTTTTCGTAGGTATGAGCTTCTGCCTACCCTGTCATAAATGTCAGGGATCCAATCACCCAAGACTTGCAACATGCCCTTCCAAACACGCTCCAGCCAGAGCAGGGCCTCCACCAACCTTCGGATCTCCGCGTCAGTAAACCCCTCCACAAGGTCCTTCCGCACGCTTCTGGGGCGCCCTCTGCGCTTTGGCTTCTTGTCATCATCAGAGTCATCTGTCTCACTCTCAGAAGCAGAGGATCTCTGGGCCTGCCTCTTAGACTCAGTATCAGAGTCACTGTCATTTGTCTGAGCCTGAAAAAAGATTGAGGCAAAGTCACACTGTGCCAAGTGCCAGGTTCAAGTGGGGAAAGGACTAAGACCACCCCATCTTAATTCTTTAGTACTCAGAACTTCCCATCATATCAGACACGTCAATTTTCCTCTAACAAGTAAGGAGAAAGAGGGTATGGAATGAAGAACCTGGTTAGGTTAGTCACACTTTCAGAGACATTGTAATGTCACGATTAAGTGAACTGGATTAAAAATATTTGGGTATTTCTGTACTATTCAATATAAATAATATTCAATACAAAGCAGGTTCATGTTTGCTCCCTTGAGCAAATAACTTTACCTCTTTGTGCCTCTGTTTTCTCATTTATAAAATGGAGACAATAGTACCACAGGGTTTTTATGAGGACTAAACGATCAACAAGCGTAAAAGCATTTAGAACTAAGCCTGGCACATTGCAAGTGCTTGATAAATGGTAGCTAGTATTTCCTAATATTGACCAACCATGATCTTGGACAAATCTATTTAATTTCCAACAAAAATGTATAATAAAACTTGTTCTACCAACTTCACTATTGTTCCAAAAATCAAATTAGACAGTGCCTGTGATGGTGCTTTGTAGGCTATGAAGCTGGTATATGTTCCCTGTTTACAGTTATAGAATCCTTAGTAAGTATTTATACTACGTGCTGTGAACATTTAAGGACAAAAAAGGAACTAGTGTTGGCACGCGCCTGTAATTCCAGCTACTCGGGAGGCTGAGGCCAAAGGATTGCTTGGGCCCTGGAGTTTGAGGCCAGCTTGGGGAACACAGTAAGATCCCCATCAATTAAAAAAAAAAAATCAGACAAAAAGAGATTTGACTCTCTGAAAATTGAAGGCAGTGAAAATTAGAACCAAAGCAAATTGTTAGGATTACCGTTCCTAGTTTCAAAGAAAAAATGGAAACTTATTTCAAACTCAGATCCTATTCAGCCATTTCACAAAGAGCCCGTTTGCGAAGACCAAATCAAATGTCTCTGCTAGGTTTCCTGCAATATAATGATCTGGAGGCTGTGTCAGGACAACAATGCAAGTACTTCTTCTTGAATAATGAGCACTTCTGTAGCCTTTACAGCATAAGAAGTACTTTTATACCTTTTATCCCACTTAATCACCTTTTTAGTGGAACTCCGAATTCGAGGCAGCATATAAATTTCTTCTAGCTCCTTCTGCCGCTCCTCCTCCTCTACCTTTTTCCTTTGCTCCTCTGGAATGATCTCATCCCAGTCCTTGTGAGGACGCTCTTCAAGCTCTTCTTCATCTTCCATTGTTGCAAAGTTGGCAACCTTAAAACAAATGGACAACCACTGTCTGATGGACAGTTCCCCATTTCCAAACACCATCTGCTAAAACACCAATTTAGCCAATGTTTTTAATCTAAGCAAGACACTGTGAATGGGATTCCTGTGATATTACATAATCAAATAATCAATTATCTACTAATTTCTCCTTCATCCCTACTCACCCAAAGCAATTTGCCAAACCCTCAAGTTTATCAGAAATTTTAATGGAAAGCAGGGAAACAGACACAAAGATATAGACTTTTATATGTTTTATCAAAAAAGTTATCATTAAATCATAAACATTTTCTAATATAAAAATAATTGGAAATTTTAGATTTATTTAGATTATAAAATGCTGAAAACCTATTAACAATCCATGATGAACTTACAGTTCCATAAATTGCTACTGAACTGAGTTCACTTGAAACAATGTATAACTCAAAGCAGTCATTATCATCTAAACTAATTGCCTTAATCATTTTTGCCAAAAAATATAAAAGTTAAAAATATGTAAATATTTCAAAAGCTCAAACGTGCACTTTAGCCTTAGGAATGAAAATGAAGGCCAGAGCCTATGGATGCTGTGGCTCACGCCTGTAATCCTAGCACTCTGAAAGGCCGAGGCAGGAGGATGGCTTGAGCTCAGGAGTCCAAGACCAACCTGAGCAAGAGTCAGACCCCATCTCTACCAAAAATATAAAAATTAACTGGGCGTGGTGGTGTGTGCTGGTAGTCCCAGCTACTCAGGAGGCTGAGGCAGGAGGATCGCTTGAGCCCGGGAGTTTGAGGATGCTGTGAGCTAGGCTGATGCCACAGCACTCTACTCAGGGCAACAGAGTGAGACTCTGTCTCAAAAAAAAAAACAAACTTCCAGCAGTGACCTCCTTCCCACGAGAACGTGCCTCTCGCAAAGGATCTCCTTCATCCCTCTCTAGCAGAGAAGAGGAAACACAGGGCTCTGAGCCTGGTGCAGAGCCCCAATTCCTACTTCAAGGATGCGAAATGTCTAAGATGCTATAAAACCACCACAGTGTTTAGCCCGGCACAAACGGTTGTTCTGTGTGTTGGTTGCTCTACTGTCCTCTGCCAGCCTACAGGAGGAAAAGCAAGGTTTAGAGAAGGATGTTCCTTCAGAAGGGAGCAGCACTAAAAGTGCTCTGTTTCAACGAATGGGAAACCATCCCAATAAACACATTTTGGGTTAAAAAAAGAAAGAAAATGAAAACATAAAATGGAAAAAATTTAAACAAACTTGGAAGAATATTCTATTTACTTCCTATCAAATATTATTTCATATCTGATATTACTTGTACTAAAACTGTATGTATCCCAGAAAGAAAACCATCTAAGTGTATGCATTTCAAAGAACCAAACTATGGCTAGACAGAAACATCCACCAGCTCAGGACAGCCTCCGGCAGAGGCAGGCAGGCCCCAGCCCGGCTCCGCATTCTCACTGTTCTTTCTCTCCCAGCCTTCGAGACTGTAATAAAGTACAAACGAGCTTTTGGAGGTTTCATTCCTCAAAGTCATTTGGAGCTGATAGTGAAGTCAAGTCAGAATCTTATCATTTTTGGCCAAAATTAACTCTTTACCTTACAAAAGGATATTAAGATCTTTACAATTAGATTTTTTTAAATTCCAAGACAAAACAAGAGGAATAATTTTTGAAATTGTTCAAAAATGAATCATCTGACCAATCTCTCAAATTAAGGACTATGGGCAATTACTTTAGATCTGACTTTTAAAACAGCTAGATGAAAATGATAAAAATTGATGTAAATGTGCATATATGTTAGTGGTTCATGCAGTTGGGAATTTTAACTTTTCCAAAGATGGCACAGTGATTAGGGCTAAAGGCCAGACCGCCTACCCAGGATGTAATCACAGCTCCACCTATGTGTGATTTTAACAAATTTACTTAACCTCTCTGTGCCTGTTTCCTTATCTGTAAATGAAGATAATATTTCATCACAGGCTTATTATAAGTATTTTAAATGAGTCAATATATATAAAGCACTTAAAACAGTGCTTGAAACATCGTAAGATTTATACAAGTGTTGGTTATTATTTCTGAAGAAAATGGTAATCTTGTATCTCAAAAAGTGTTTGCTGTGTTTCCAGTATGTTAAATGGGGGTTAAAAAGAAAAAAAGGATTATCAGGGGAAAAATAACGTTGATTGAGTTGAAGCACTCTACAAATAGTGAGCCCCTGAGATAAGCAAACTCCTACTGTTAAATCATATCATTTGACCAGGTACTGAAACATAATGGCCAAAAAGGCTTTAGGAAAATAAAAGCAACCAGTAATGTGATGACCACTTTTGAATAATCTGTAATATGTAGAAATTTCTAAACTTAAATAATCATATAATATTCTGACCAAGATATCATAATGAAGATTATATGTTTAAAGAGGGAACAGTAGTCACAGAGGTGAAATCCATTTGAAACAGTGCAATCAACTGACTCTTTATGTCCCCTCAAAATTCATGTGATGAAATCCTAACTCCCAATGTAACGTATTAGGAGGTGGTGATGACTCTGAGAGGTAATTAGGTCAAGAGGGTAGAGCCCTCATGATGGGATTAGTGCCCTTACAAAATGGACCCCCAGAGAGCTCTCTAGCCTCACTCTCTACCATGTGAGGATACAGGAAGTCAGTAGTTTGCAACCCAAAAACAAGCCCTCACCAGAACTCAACCATATGCGCACCCTGATTTCGGAAATCAAGGCTCTAGAATTGTGAGAAATAAATTTCTGTTGTTTATAAACCACCAGGTCTACGGTACTTTGTTGTAGCAGCCCAAACGGACTACAACAAACACTAATAATTCACGTTCATCCTTTTCCACCCTATCCTTTCTATCCTGAGACACATTAACTCTGATCCTAGAACTCTATGACCCACTCAACACTTTTCCTTGTTCTTCCACTGAAACAACTTCCACTTATAGCCAGCTTTGCAGCTCATCACACAATATTGCTTCCTTCCAAGAAATTCACCCAATTTCCCCTCAGTCGTAACCATCAGTCTAATTACCAGATTTCTCTTGCTTCTCTTAACTGCATGGAATCAACCCACAGTCAATCCTTTCACTCATGTTCTCACGTCAATCTTGGAAACCTTTGCCAGTATGACTTTCCTGCGCCTCCCAAGCCAATCCCCCACCTTGGGATTGCCAACTGATCCAATTTCTCTGACCTCAAGTATTCCTGGAAAAAGTCATATGACCCTGTCGACTGGCTCCACGGCAAAGCCCCATCATCTAAATTCAGGTGACTCCCTATCAAGTTCCTCCCCACAACTCCCTGCTCCATCTTTTCCACTTCTCAGCAAACACCTCATTTACTTTACTGCAAAGTAAGGTTATACTATATAAATTAAACTCCCACATCTTCTCTCTCCTAAAGTATACTTGTCCTTCTTCTTTCCAATGCCAAATCCTCCACCTGTGCTTTTGACTGGATCTCTTCCAGTCTCCTCTGGGGCAATGTGCCAACAAATCGTCTTCTTTCCTTAGAACCTTCAATAGCTCCCTATTCTCAAGTTCTCTCCTCAACTTAGAAATATGGCAACATCATTCGAAAACCTTGCCTTGCGTGACCCTTCTAATCATGTAACTTCCCTTCCCTGCACTCTTTCACTCAGCTTTTTAATAACATCTACACTCAATGCTGCCACCTATCCATCTGGTGCCCAGCTTCTGCGTTCAGTCCTCATCTCATCTATCTCTTCTCATACATTTCCTGTTCTATCAGACACCAGTACCAGTGACCACCCCTTTCTCTCCCTTTACCAAAAAAAAATAATCATCAAGTCATCAAGAACCTTCTAATGGTCACCAATGGTTTTCATACCTTTGACCACTCTTGGGCATCTGACTCTGGTCATGTCTCCCACAGCCCTCCACAGTCCTGGTTCTCCACCTAGCCCGCACATTCTCAGTCCTCTTCACTGACTTCTCTTCCTCTACACAGGACAGCCCACTTCGGCGGTTACCTTCATGGTGAGGACTGCGGAATCTACTTTCACAACATACTTATAACTCAGAGAATGATATTGAGGACATGAGCCAATTCACGTAAAGGAAAAGCACAGTGCCTAGCACAAAGAAAGTGCTCGCAGACACTAGTGAGCACTAGTTAATGAATCAATGCGGAGAACTCTCTGCCGCAAAGATCTGCATACCTTAAACTGTGACAGAAGCTCATCTGTTGCACTTGTTGACACTTCATTCTCTCTGGTTTCAGCCAAGCGCAAAATTTCATCTATATCCATTTCCTGAAAGAACAAAAGCAATATAAATATAATAAAAATAGTGACCAGCATTTACTGAAAATGTTTCATGCAAACAAACCAACTCTCCTTTCTAATATTCCATTTGCTTTTATAGTCTAACATTTCAAACTATTATTTATACAAATAATGAGGTGACACTTCAGAAAATAAAAGAAATAAAAATAAGCAGGGTGGGGAGAGTACCCAAAGGCAGAATCTTCAAATTCTTTATTCATTCTTTCCTATTCAATTTAGTAAGAGCTTTGAGCTTCGTAAGAAAAAAAAACTATGTTCTTCAAGTCATTACTTCTTTATAAAAGCCTCTAACACAGACTCACAATCTTCTTCCAGAAAAATTTAGACACTTACAGATGATACTTCTTAAAAATTTTCTGTTTTCTCATTGTTAATTACCTGAGGTTCTGACTCCTCCCCTTCAAGTTCTTTGAAGAGATCCTCTGCTCCAAATTTCAAAATAGCTGTCAGCTCTTCTTTATTAAAAGGATTTGAGCTGTAGACGTAAAATGTAGTTGTAATCTCTTAGGAATGTCAATCTCTAAGAAGTTCTACTTCAAAATAACTATCTTTTAGAAAGGGGTAAAATAACTGGTGAGAATATAAATTCTGCCTCAAGAAAATTCTCACTGCTAAAAAGTCACAGGCGATGACACTGTGCTGGGCTGACACCCAATACACACAGCTCCACTGCTGCAGCTGTGTCACGTCATGCAGCCAAAAGCAAGGGCGAAGGAGAGGGAAAGAACGAAGGAGAGGGTGAAGCAAAGAATTGATGGGCAGTGAAAGAAGAAACAGAGAAAGCAAACTAAAATAAAAACGCCATCCTTCTTGTGGTCACGGCCTGGCTGATTCCAGGTAAGGAATGGATTAATGTCTGTGGTAGATAGTGCTATTTACAAGAATGAATTATATCAAATGCTGATGTAAAATCGATTTGATTCTGCCTACCTCCCCAATCTTTTTGGCACTTACTTGGACCTTCCCGAGTTATTTTCCAGGACCGTCCGGCCAGTGGTGTCCATGCGTTGAATCACCAGATGGTCCAATACCATCTTCTTTTTGGCCCGTTCGATGATCTCCTCCTCCACAGTCCCCTTTGTAACTAAGCGGTAAATATTTACCTGTAGGAAAAGGAAATCTTATGCTTATGTCTGATCCACAAAAAAAGAAAAGAAAGAAAAAAAGAAAGAAAGAAAAAGGCTACCTCTGTCAAAAACCAAGAGGAGAAAAGAAAAAAAAACGTTTGTTCTCTATTACCATAAATGACTATAAGCTATCCATCCAAGTGGGCAGCTTAAATAGACATAATATTTTCAGTATCTGAGGCAGGTTACATTCTTAAATAAAACTGCCTTTAAAGTTCTGTTAATGTGGCCTGTTTAATGATAAAAAGCTTGCTAAAAAACAATCAGTTTCACTGACGGAAAATTTCACAAAAACAGAATCTTCAGCCAAGTATGAAATTTATGGGGGGAGAGGGAGGGGGAGGGTAAGGGCAACACACATAACCTAAACATCTGTACCCACATAATATGCTGAAATAAAAAAAAAAAGAAAAGAAATTTATGACTTATCCAATATAAAACAGACTTTGAGATTCATAAACCAAAGAAAAAAGTGGGTTTCCAATGTATCTTAAGCTAACACTGTCATGTATAATAAAAACAGACCATCTTAAACTATGCTAGAATATATAACAACTTCTCCATATTAAAATAGAGAAAAGGCTCAGTTCTACATATAATTATCATATGTCTCTCTTAGGGTAAACATACAGAAAGTCACCAGTGGTGTACTCTTCAAAGAGAGAAAGGGAAAAGTTCCTTCAAAGTTCATCTTAGGCCCAAAGATGACATTTCTTCCCTGAATTAGTTAACAAACAGAAATCAACATTTGGGGAAAATCAAAGCGAAACAGGGGAAAAAATCATTTTCCAAACATCCTGAAAGGGCCGAATAAACCCCCTTACCCCCCACCCCAAAGCCAAATCCCAAAGCCTCTCCGCACTGACCTGCTTCTTCTGACCAATTCTATGGGCTCGGGCTTGTGCCTGCAAGTCGTTCTGGGGGTTCCAGTCAGAGTCAAAGATGACGACTGTGTCCGCTGAAGCCAAATTGATTCCTAGGCCACCAGCCCTTGTCGAAAGCAGGAAACAGAAGTCCTGTACACAATGCAATATACTACTTTATGCAGTGGCCTTCTCAGAAACAGTTTCACAGTCCAATAAGCCCTTATACCTGGAAACCCCTGCAGGTGTGAAGAAAAGTGAGATATGATGGACAAACTTTACGGAGGCTAAAAGAATGTCAGGGACTTGACGGCAGAGTGAATTTTCATTTGATTAAGAGGAAGAGTCAGTGCAGTGAACAAAGGAGTAAAGCAGAATCTAATAAGGCAACGGGAGCAAGAGAATTAGTGTTATCTCCTGGCTAAAACTAGTACACAAGAAGTAGGAAAAGGAAAAAAAACAGACAAACTTAATTACAACGGGGATCATTCATTCCAGCAAGTTACCTAGACAATTACTTTCTAGAGAAAGATAGATTATGCCATGGAAGGCAGCTAGTATAAACAAAGGCACTTTATTATGTAAATGTCCATCCATTTGTTAGGCAGGTGAGGAATATAGAAACACCGCACTAAACAGATCACATATTGGAACTGCTGAGAAGCACGGAATCCTCGATCACCACACAACACGCAAAAAGAAAAACAGGTGTGGCTGGAGAGTGATGTGTGAGATGACCCAGCACCGCCACAGTCCAGTTTCCACAGCAGTGATGCAAGCACAGCACACCTGCTGCATCTGGGTGCTCAGAAACACACAGAGACAGAGCAAAAGAATAAACTCTATAAGCGAGACAACAAAAGCCAAAATATTTCTACTTTCAGGGAATTTATCACCTATGTAAAAAGCTGACACCTTTCCGGCAAAGAAGTGGCACTCAAAGACTGGCAGCTTTGGGTTGTATCTTGATAAACGGGTATATTTAGTGCACATATGCAGATGCGACAAAAAGGTCTCCATGTTCTAACAGCCACGTTCAACAGCGTTATGCCACAGAAATAAAACTGGAGACGGCTGCCTCACAAGAACTTTAAACAACTTCAATAAAAAGCTCATCAATAGGTTGTGCCTAGGCACACAGTCTGAGATCCTTGGGAAGAAATATCAAGCACCACCACACTATGTGGACAGTTAAGGAGGAGATACCTAAAGCAAATAAAATCTGGGGTTTGAATGATCATATCAACAATTTTCTATGTCACTCTTTATTGAGGATAATATGAATTATAATAATTTGTTTGCAACTATTATTAAATTGACAGAAGTTAAAAAATTATGAAACTCAATGCTGCTAAGGGTGAGGTAAAAAGGAGAATATTCATACATAACACTATGAATATAAATTGTTTCAGAAAAGTAATTTAGCAAAGTGTATCAAAAATATTTTTAAAATGCCCATACCCTCTTATCCAAACATCCACCAATAATAAAATGGTTAAATAAATAATGGTGAAAGCATGACGAAATATTAGAAATTACAATTTTGTAAAATCTTTAATGACACGGGGAAAGGCTCAAAGCATAATTCTGAATAAAAGGTGAAAAAAAACACTATATCTGCAGCATGATCCCAATTAGATAAACAAATAAAGAAATCAATGTTTCCATCCAATATGAATGGACATACACCCAAAGGATGTGAATAGCAAGTTAGCAAGTTGTGTCCGGGATGAGGGTTTTGTACAATTTTTCTTCTTTGTACTCTTCACCATCCTCCAAACTTTCTAAATGGGCATATAATATTTTTCCCCCAATAATAAATATTTAATTTTTAAAACATTACAGAAAATGGTAGAAAACTTATATTCTACATATGGCCCTAGGGGGGACGAAAGCGATATAAAAAAATAACTTATTTTTTTTCCTGAGAAAAGGCAATATGAAACATTCAACTCATACTATTCTTTTTAAACTAAGAGTAGGAAACACAAAACCAATTTCAACAAATACTATATAATAAAAATACCTGACATTTATTGTGTGATTTCTATGTGCTAGACAATGTGATCAGCTCTTTATATTAATTACCAAATTTAAACATCACAAAATATTATGAAGTATTGGAACCAATGATTTTATAATTGAGGAAACAAGGAACAGGGAAAGAAGTGATCGGAATTAGATGATGACCAATGTCTTTAGTAATTCAATTCTTCTTATCCCTAACAATTCAAGAGTCTTGGTTCTAAATAGATTAATGCCCAAAGTCCCTCAAGAAGAAGTAAAATTTTAGGCTACAGAAATAGCCAGAATACTTATCTAACTAGGACTTCTACAAATCTATAGAGAGAAAGCATAGCATTCTGTTCTAACAGACACAGGCATTAAGAATTTTTACAGCTCTTCAGAAAGCCGGAAGCAAAGTCTATTCTATCTGTTTAAAAAAAAAAAAAAAAAAAAAAAGTGGCCCAGGCTCCAAAAATTAACATTCTCTCCAAAGCACTTCTAATTCTACTTCTCCACTGCTTCCTTCACCTCTATATATTATTATGGTTTTATGTACACTTAAGTTCTTCTCCTCTACTTCTCTCGAATCCCATGGCATTTGATAATTTGATATACACAAACTAGTTATTAAAGTTTCTAATTTGTCCTAAGTAGCTCTTCTATAGGTGCCCCCAAAACAACATACAATGCCAAATCTAAGCTGGACACTTACTGATTTAAACATGCTACTATTAGCCAGAGCAAAAACATTAAGTCACATCACATCAGGAGTCCAATAAACTTGAGACATGGCAAACGTACTTTTCGAGCCTTAATCACCAAAACAGTACAGATCAGAACCTTCCAATATATATGTCAAAATTAATCCTAATGGCCAACCCTCCCTGCTCCCCTTGCCTTACTGCTCTTCCAGACCCAGAAATTTGGTATGTGGAAGACACTGGAGAATTCCTCAGTTATTAATCAAAACCAGGGGAGATAAACAAGCATATATATGTTTTTCTGGAGTGACAAACAATAAAAATAGGCATCTTTCATATTAGGGATTTCTCATTCTCTTCTCAAGGCAGAATTGCCTGCAAATTATTTCTGAAACAGAAGACATTAAGCTGGAAAGACTTCCCTTGATACAGAACCCAAGCTCCCAAACAAAGCCATGCAAAGTATACCTCAGACCCATCTGCATTGAAGTGGTCCAGTGCCTGTTTTCGGATTTCTCCCTTGATGGAACCATCCAGACGCTGTAAAAATAAACCACAAGAAAATCATAAGGTAGGGAGATCAGCTACACTCAAAATAGAACACCAGACTTGCAATCTTTATCACCTGAACACCCACTGAGTAAAAATAACTGGAGTGCGCTGGCAAAGCGCTGAAGGGCTGCGCTTAAGGAGCGTACCCTACTTGACCCACGCTCTCCCGTTACAGACTTAAGGTCAGAAGCTTCTGATTCAAAGGGCTATTTAGGACCAGAATATCCACCAGGACCTATAAGGAGAAAAATGAAAACCTAACCTGTTCTTACAGGCTTGGTTTACTTCTTTATCTGGAGGTACTGTATAGACTGGGAAATAGTACCACTGGCCAATAATTAGTTCCTGCAGAAAAGTGATGCTTCTTAGCTAATTACATAATTTTGTTTGGAAAATATTTTGTTTAAACACTGAAAATGTTAATAATAATTAACCATATACCCAAGCTTTTCCAAAAATTACACTCTGAAATCAGAGAAAAGTATTCAAGCAGCCAAACTATACTGTCAATTCAAGAGAGCCTCTGGTATTAACTAGTGCATACAATTCTTTTATTAGGGCATGTATGTCTGTCCTGGGTACAAAACAATGTCACCATACAGAAACCATTTAATACATAAAACAAATGCTGAAGAATTACCACATATATGCTATATATTTTATAAACCATTTCTCACTCTTTAAAATCATTTTCACATTTCATTCTCTAACAATTACCCCTTGAGATGAATAAAATCACCTCATTTTACAGAAAGCAAAACTGACCCAAGAGGTCACTGGCTGGCAGCAGCATCCATGGAAGGACCTATATTTCCCCAGGGCAATCTGTCCAACAAACTCAAGTTATCTCACACATGGGAAGCCCCTTTCCTTCTTTCTCACTGACTACAAATTCTACTCAGAGCCTTGAACCAAAGATGTTTAAACGGGCAGGTTCAAAGCCTATATTTGAAATCAGAAAACCTAATGCCCTCCTTTTAATATTCCCATTAACAGAGGACATTAAGACAATTGCCTATAAGTCACCGATTAGGTACAACAGACCTGAAGAACCCTGGCTTAGTTATTCCCTATAGAAAAGAATGATGCATTCTTGATTTAATTGATATCATATGATTACCTAGAAATGAGAGCTCACAGGGATCAGATACACTGAGAGATAACTTTTTGCAGTGTGCTGTTTCTTGATAATAACCAAAGTATTATGCTTATTTCTAAGACAGCTGCTGAAAGACCACACAAGATATTCTGGATATAATAATGTTTTTCAGGGTATTTTGAAAGACAAACTGCTAATGAGTCTTAAAAGTTGGGCCTTCTTAGGAGATAATCACTGACTTCGATTTTCATTAATACCAATGTAATTAGATGTGTTGGTAGAACAGTCCATCCAAAGTTTAAAAAGAAAAATAATTTTTAGAAATAAAGCTTAAAAATCAAAGCACTATAAAAATATTATGCCAAAAGTCAAAGTAAATTGCACACGTCTACATATCTGTAAGTAAATCAGAGATAAGTTTCCAACAGATTAAACACCCAGAAAAATATTATCACAATGAAGAAATTTTTCCCCATAGGAGATAACTGAGTGACAATGAAGGCCAGTAGTAACAGCTCCACAGAAAAGAGGGGAGAGGCCCCCAACACTTGCTTCAGGGACCACAGGGTTTTAAGTACCACTCCTCTGCTGCATTCCCAGCCTCACAGGCAGCATCGATGTCTTTTGGGGTGAATATACAATACTGCTACCTCTCTTTTCTTTCTTTTTAGGATTTGGGCTGCTGGAATCAGATTCACACTTTTTTCCTCTCTACTTTTACCACAGACTTAGAGATGTACAGCACTACCTAACATACGTTTCTCTTGCCCAATTTTCCTTTCTCTAATCCTTCCCAGCCATCCCCCTGCAAGAAAAGAATGATTTTCACATAACCATTTTCATAGGGTAAAAGTTTATTAAAGGCAGGGAAGTAAAAATCAAGACTCTCCTGAAATTTTAACCTCAATTTTTTTCAAGCAAGAAAACTCTGTGGTTCTTCTACTTTAACAAGCAAGACATACAACTTGGGAGAGAGAGGGAGAGGGAAAGAGATACCTCCCCAATTACTGAACCACTTTACCTGGAAAGGATAGTGTTTAATAGTCAGGTACTCGGCCAGAATATCCAACATTCTCACCATCTGAGAGAAGATAAGGACTCTGTTCCCCCTTTCTCGAAGTCTCGTCAACAGTTTGTCTAACAGAATCAGCTTCCCACTGCTCCTGATCAGGGACTGAAGATTTAAGACATTCCAATCATTACGTTGAAACACATATTTCAATCTGCCCTTAACTGCTAAGAATTCGTATTTTAAAAATCATCTTTAAGCCTTTTGAAGTCCTCGGCAATCTGGTTGACCACCAATTTCTGAAATGTTCATTTCACCTAGTATCTGTGATACTATCCAGATTTTTCCTAGTTATTTAACTTTTTTCACCTATTTTTAAAGCTTTTTTTTGATGCTCCTTGAAGGGTCATCAAGGATAAAAAGGAGCATTTTGATGAAAAGCACCTGAAGAAACTAAATTGGTTTTGAGAAAATAATTATGACCAAGAGGAACTACGCACCAGAAGAATCTCCTGTCCGTTCTCCCTTTCGTTTTCTTCAGGGGGTTTAATCAGATAGCAGTGGTTACAGCATTTTTTCAGTTCCATCACAATATTAAGGAAACCAGATGTGCTGCCTCTTGTTCCTTTGGCAAGAGCCTTATAATTCCTGGTCAGAATCCATCTACAAATTAAAATGATAATGATTCTACTAGATACAAAGAAACTGAGTTGTGGGTACCACATTATAAGAAATAGTAGTACTACTGAAAAAAAAATCTAAGGAAGTTAAAAAAACAGAGAGGATATTTTATTTTGTATCTCCTGCCACCTAACCATGATCCTTTACATACATCTCTAGTCAGAATTGGAAACGTTAATGATTCAACTGGGTGTTTCAACCTCACTGAACACAGAAATATTAAAAGGAAACAATTCTCTCTCTCTATCCCTCCCCATATAGAAATAAATAAATGTGCACACACACATTGTATATAAAGTGTGTATATATATATACACACTTTATATATATATGTATATATACTTTACTTATACATAAGTGTGTGTGTCTATATACACTCAAGTTGAGTATTCCAAATCTGAAAATTAGAAAATTTGTTTTTAAAAATAAAAATACACCATGAATTCTTTCTAGTTAAGCAGTACTATAGAGCTTTTATTTGATATTATTGATCTTATACCCATCATAAAAATCCTACTTCTTAACTACACCAACTTAATTCATGCTACACACACAACAGTCTTAGAATAACAGTGCTAGTTTTGTAGTCCCTAATGAATTAATGGATCTAGGCAATGTTCACCATTAGTTGCTAACATCATAAAAAAAAAGTCCTCCTGTAAAAAATATACCTTTGCATTCTTATGACATAATCACACTCAATCTGAGCCTAATCAAGCCTCTACACTCATCTACGAGTATATAGAAAACACAAAGTTCAGAGCAAAATGTTAAAGGATGCCATAGAGCTGGAATCAACAAAATCTAGGCTGTGGTAAAAGTCTACGGAACATAAATTCAGCTTCTTCATTCAAAAAATTTATAAGGCCAAGCGAAAAAAATGTGTGTATGCATGTATATGGATATCACAACCAGGAAAATGTAAATACTTACTGGACGTTATAAAACTGCTGAGGAATTATTGGGTTTTTTAGACAAGATCACAGTATTGAAATTATCCTTAACAACAAAACAAAAAAAGCTCTTATCTTTTAGAGATATATATTAAACATTTATGATATGTACCTACATGTTTGAAAATGACCGGGGGGGGGACCAAGAAACTATACAGATGAACTAATACGGGCCATAAATTGATAATTAGAAAGATTACCAGATCTCTAACTTAAAAAGACTAACTTTCATGGCAATAAGTTCTTTTCCAGACCCAACTTTAAATCACCAAAATTAAAGCCCATGACAAGCACATTATATATCATGCTCTGTCCCAAATCCAACATTTTGGCTTTAAAATAGTATAACCCAAGCCAAGTACATAATTTCCCCAGGCCAACTGGAATGTTAGAAAGAAAAGGACATGCTCCCTGCAATACGGAGGTGAGTGCTTCTTCTTAACTCACACAGGCCCCTATATATGCCTCTCTTATTAAACAACACTGTGCTTTAATTATTATTTGTCTCTAGTCTGTTTTCCCTACCACGCAAGTCTTCTAGCAGGAGATATTTATTCATCTTCATATGCCCAGTATCTAGCAGGATGCGTGGCAGAAGCTTAATAAATTATTGAATGAAACAGGGACAAAATATATATGAATAAGTAAAATATGCCTATTTATTGATAGGGGGATTAGTGCTAATAATTAATATATACTTCAGATCACAAACATAAAGAAAAGCAAATTCTCACTTACCCAAATAAAAAAGAAAGAATAATAAACCTCCCTTTTTCCGACTGTAAATATATTGCTACTTAAATCTGTGTTTAGGATTCATTTAAAAAAGCACACAGTTTATGTATCAATTATCTATCTTATGGCTTCATGGTTCTATCTCAGTCCCTTTAGCCTAACCCAAACAAGAACTTACTTGTAATACTGTTTCTGAAGGGCCGACATCTCTACCCTGAGAATCTGTTCCACTTTGGCAGGAAGGGATTTCTCCACATCTTTTTTGACTCTCCGGAGAAGGAAAGGCTCTAGCACCTTATGAAGACTCTGGTAGCCATTCTCTCTCCCTTTGCCATGGTCTTCTTCAAAATCTTCCCAGAACTCAAACCTAGGGATGAAACAGTAGTATAGTGTTACTTAGTTTCATTGAAGAAAACATTTTTTTGACTAATATTTCTTTTACAAGGAATTGAATGAAAAAAAAAAAAAAACTGGAAAAAAAATGAATCTCTCCTGGACAGAGAATCACTCGAACTCTTGAATAAAAGAGAAGGGAAAGCAAAAAGGAAGGGGAAACCAAACTGATATCGGACTCCACTCATCTACACTAGATAACAGCAGGTTTCCAATTCTCACAGTGAATCTAGAGTTGATAAAATATTTCAGTATATATCATGCAATTAATATAAGTAAATAAGTTATTCTTATGAAATTTTATACAGAAAAATTAATCAAATTGTCTTTTAATAAGTTGCATTTCTTGGGAAAATAAAACTCAGAGGTAAAAGAATAATGAGTGGCAATATTATTACAGCTATCACTGCTCAAAGGCAAAAGTTCATTATATAACTTCCATCAATAATATTCACTTCATGGATTACAAAGTTAATGGATTATAATGATAGTAAACAAGACGGTAGCCCAGACAAGAAGATCCATAAAAGTGACCCAACTTTAACACTAACAGAACTTCAAGACATAAATTTTACTGATGAATTTAGAAACCTGTCACTCATAATTCCACCTAAACTCTATAGGTAAAAGTTTCTCATGTATAAATCTTAATTCAACCATGTTTATTTCACTAAAACTATAACAGAAATGCAGAATGGGAAATTAGGATAAAGTTACTTTTAAAAATACAAGATGAAGGAAACTTATTTCTTGAGGATTAAGAAAAATGTGCTTTATCTTGCCACTAGGAAGCCAACAAAGCGCTTGAAAAATGTAGCCTATTTTTGTGCACAGACTGAAGCTCAGTAAGTGAAGGCACACCATTAATCAACTGAGGCCAGACCTGGAAGCTTAATCACTGCCCCAACAGTCTGCCTTATGACGCCAGTGGCCCCAGTCAGCTGAAGCCAATCAAGTCCCAGACTAACAAACCCCAGAAGACTAACATTATCTACAACTACTCAAAATATTTTGCTCTCCAATAAGATGGAAGGTCAGAGACAGCACAAGCCAGCACATGCCAGCATTGCCAATGGACGTAACAGCCTCGACAGTCAACTGCCACTTCTGAACTCACATATGGCCAAGCATTTCATCAGCTATTGCTAGGTGGATCAACATAAGCCTTATTAACATCTGGAAACGCCTGAAACGATCATCTTCGGGGAAACAGATGAAATGATCTTTTGGAGTAGAGATCTAAAATCATTATTAAAGTCTACAGCCTGATAAAACTAAGGTAAATTGTATTTTGACATACTGCTATGCTATTAAGCAAACGCTTCAAGAACATACAATAAAATAAACGAGGAATCAAAACTAATAAGAAGATTAAAATGAACAATGTAAACTGAACTATCTCAAAGCTGGGTATGAGATCCCACACACGAAATGTATGAAGTGACTGGAAATCAGTAGGATTACTGCAGGTAATTTTCTGAATACCTGGGAGACAATCTCAAGAGGCTAATTTACCTAACATATTAAAATAAAACTATACTAGTCTAAAATATTAAATGTAAACTTTATTTACAAGATTTACTTCTCCCTACTGTTTTAGGCAACAAATATTTTCACCTGCCTACTATACTCGTGTTATATTAAGGTAGTTAATATGAGATAACATTTCTTTATATACATACACTAAGGAGAATGAATATGTGTCTGTTTGTATACAGAGATATCATCCATTCGTTTATGAACTATCTATGGCTGCTTTCATTCTGAACAGAGATGAGCAGTTATAAAAAAGACTGTATGGCCTATAAGCAAAAATATTTACTATCAGATCCTTTAAGAAAAAGTTTGCTGTCCCCTAAAACAAACAATTACTAATTTCTAAAATTAGCTATGTAAAGGTATAAGCTCACAGTGGTGAATATATAAAGATGCCATGCCACAACTGGAGATTATCTTAGATATATCCTAGCTCTCAACTTCCACACATATGTCTCTCACAAAAGTAGAAACAATTCTGATTTTTAAAAATTAGAAGACATCTGAAGACATTTTTGGCTGTCACAACAGAACAGGGGGTTCTACTGGCATACAGTGAGTAGAGGCCAAGGGTACTGCTAAACATCCTACAATGCGAAGGACAGTTCCCCATAAAAAAGAATTATCCAGCCCAAAATGTCAAGTGCCAAGGTTGAGAAACCCTGCTCTAAAAGAAGGCAGAGGAGGGAGGAGTGTGGAAGGGGCTCTTCTGCAGAAGTACACTGTAGTGAAGACACCTGTAATAAAAAGGTGTTTAAGCCTGTTCCAGTAACACCTGTAGTGAGGGCAGCACAGTCAGGGTGGTCAAGTTTCTCTACCCATCTTCTAAAGAGACTTAAATTGTCCTTCACAAATAAAGGTCAAAATAGAACAGCCAGACACAAATAAAGACAGAATCTCCTGGTAACAGCCTTGCCTTAAGAGAAATACTAAGGGAAGCCCTTCAGACTAAAAGAAAGTGATACCCAGTGGCGACTTGAACCCATTGAAAGAAATGAAGATCACTAGAAATGATCAAATATATGGGTAAATATATAAAAAAAAGAATGAATATGTTTTTGTCTTTTCTGAATTTCCTTAAAAGACAAACCTATGTAAAGCAATAATATCAGTGTATTCTTGGGTTTATAACCTAAGAAGAGAGGTAAAAATGGAACTAATGGAACTATGGTGGAGCAAAGTCACTACGTTTTATAACTGAGTCAATATTAAGCTGAAGATGACTATAGTAAGTTAACATGTATACAATAATCCTACAGCAACCAATTAAAAAAAAAATTTTAAGTAGCGAAAAATTAACAGAAGAATTAAAACGGCACACCGAAAAAATATTTGCTGAAACAAAAGAAAACAGTAAAGAAGCGATAGGAAAAAAAGATAAGACATGGGAAATAAACAGCAAAATGGCAGAAATAAATCCAACCATATTATATTGTTAATTTTATTTTTTATTTTTTTAAGGCTAGTCAAGTAAAGCAATGGGAGTGAAGAAGGAACAAAGGAATCTGTGACCAGTTGTGATCAATTAGTTGTAAATATCACTGCACTGGACCAGCCTCATTAATTACATTAAATGTGAATGGACTAAAATATTCCAATCAAAACACAAAGATTGTTGGCTATAATCCCAGCACTTTGGAAGGCCAAGGCAGGAGTATCGCTTGCTTGAGGCCAGGAATTCAAGACCAGCCTAGCCAACACAGAGACCCTGTCTCCACAAAAAATAAAAAATCAGCCAGGTGTGGTGGCACACACCTGCAGTCCTAGCTACTTGGGAGGCTGAGGGAGGAGGATCACTTGAGCCCAGGAGTTTGAGTCTGCAGCAAACTATGATTGCACCACTGCACTCCAGCCTGGGTGACAGAGCAAGACTCTATCTCTTAAAAGAAAAAAAAAAGACAAAGATCGGTCTGGATGAAAAACTTAAAAAAAAAAAAAGGCAGATCCAACTATGTGTTATCCATAGCAGACATATTTTAGAGACTCCTCAAAGAAAAAAATAGGTTGAAAAGTAAAATGATAAAAAATGATATATCACACAAAGAATAATTAGCTCAAATGATGGGAAAGGGTATACAATGCAAACAGTAACCAGAAGACTGATGAGGAGCTATAATAAAATCACACAAAATAGACTTAAAATACAGTATTACTAGAGGCAAAGTGGGACATTTCATAATGGCAAAAAAAGGTCAACATATCAGGAACATGTAAACAGTAACAAACAGAATCCCAAATTATATGAAGGGAAAAATGACAACTAAAAGAAGCTGAACATTCAATACTACAGTTAAAAATTAAAATATTTCATTCTCAATAATTGCTAGTACGACTAGACAGGCAGCCAGCAAAGATATAGAAGACCTGAACAACACTATTAACCAAGGTGACATAATAGACGTTTACAACACACTCTACCCAACTAAGGCAGTATAGACATTATTCTTTGCAAGAACACATGGAACATTCTTCAGGATAAAAAGCATACTAGACCATATTATAACAAGTTACAATTCAAAGCATGTACAAAATGGAATTAACAAACCATTTGGAAAATCCCTAAATATCTGTAAGTTAAACAACATATTTCTAAAAAACCCATGCTTCAAAGAAGAAATCACAGGAAAAATCAGAAAACAGATGAAACTGAATGAAAATTAAATAAAACACAAGATTAGCAACATTTATGGGATGCAGTTCAAGCAGCACATAGACATTTAAACTCCTAGATTAGGAAAAGGGAAAAAAGGGCCTAAAATCAGTAATCTAAACTGTACCTTCAGAGGAAAAGAGAAAATTAAATGAAAAGCAAAGGAAGGAAAAAATAAAGATGAAAATAGAAATAAATGAAACAGGAAAAAACAGAAGAAAATGCCAATGAAGTCAAAAGTTAGTTCTTTGAAAACATTAAATTCTTAAACCCTTAGCTAGACCAAGAAAAAGAGATAAGGCACAAATTACGAAAATCGAAAACTTATTGTGACCACTATTGATTCTTCAAAAATTAAAAAGGATTATGAGGGACTACTATAACTTTATGTCAATAAATTAGACAAGTTATACAAAACGGATAAACTCCGAGTTAGACACCAATTAACAAAACTGAGTTAAGATGAAATAGAAAACTTAAATAGTCCTATAACTAGAAATTGAATTAGTCATTAAAAATTTTCCCACAAAGAAAAATGAAAGCCCACAAGCCATGTAGCCACACTAGTAAATTCTGTCAAATACTTAAAGAAGTAACTCCAAACTTATTAATGCATAAACTTTCAGAAAACAGAGAAGTAACACTCTCCAATTCATTCTATCATCCCATTACGAAAACCAGGCACACACCACAGAAAATTTTTAAAAAATAAAAATAACGAGGGACTAAAATCTCTCAAAAACATACACGCAAAAATCTTTAATAAAATATTAGCAAACTGAATCCAGTAACATATGAAAAGGATTAAACATTACGAACAAGTCAGATTTATGCTAGGAATGAAGGGTGGCCTAATGTCTAAAGAGCAACTAATATAATACACACCATATTGGTAGAATAAAGGACAAAACCACATGGTCATCTCAAGAGACACAGGAAAAACAGCATTTGACAAAACCCAAGACCCATTCATTATAAAAACTCTCAAAAAGTAGGAATAGAAGAAAACTTCCTCAACCTGATAAAGGATATCTACAAAAAAATCTATGGCTAACACCCTGCTCCCACCAATTCTATTCAACATGGAGGTTCTCGCCAGTACAATAAAGCAAGAAGAAACAGGCCGGGCGCGGTGGCTCACGCCTGTAATCCTAGCACTCTGAGAGGCCAAGGAGGGTGGATCGCTCAAGGTCAGGAGTTCGAGACCAGCCTGAGCAAGAGCGAGACCCCATCTCTACTAAAAAACAGAAAGAAATGATCTGGACAACTAAAAATATATATATAAAAATTAGCCAGGCATGGTGGCACATGCCTGTAGTCCCAGCTACCTGGGAGGCTGAGGCAGAAGGATCCCTTGAGCCCAGGAGTCTAAGGTTGCTGTGAGCTAGGCTGACACCACAGCACTCTAGCCGGGGCAACAGAGCAAGACTCTGTCTCAAAAAAAAAACAAAAAACGAAGAAATAAAAAGCATCCACATTGGAAAGCAAACTTTTACATGTAGAAGACATGATTCTGTATGTAGAAAATACTAAGAAATACAAAGAACAACCAAAAACCAGTGGAAATAATAAGTGTATCAAGTTTGCAGGTTACAAGATCAATATACAAAACCGAATTGTAGAGTTCTATACTATAGTACAATGTGAAAATTAGATTTATAAAATTCCACTCAAAATATAATAAATTTTTAAAAAGAAATGTAAGATTTGTACACTGAAAACTACTGAACGCTAAGAAAAATTATAGATCTAAATAAATGGAGAAAATATTCCATGACCACAGATTAGAAGAAAAAATATTAACAATTCTACCTTGTGCTCACTTCGGCAGCACATTTACTAAATTTGGAACAATACAGAGATTTTTAAATTAAATAAAAGAAAAAAACCAATTCCACCTTAATTGATATACACGATTCAACACAATTTCTATCAAAATTCCAGAAGATTTTTTTGTCCAGAAATTAATAAGCTAATCTGAAAATGTAGATGGAAATAAATGCAGGACATCGAGAATAGTCAAAACAATTCTGAAAAAAGAAGAATAAAGGTGGAACTTAAACTTCTCCATTTTAAAAAGTGGTATTAAACTACACTAATCAAGACAATGTAGTATTGTCATGAGGACAGAAATATATACTAATAGAACTGACAGTCCAGAAATCGGTCATTACATTCACAGTGTCAACTGACTCCCAACAAAGATATCAAGGAAATTCAAAGTAGAAAGGATATTCTTCTCTACAAGTGGTACTGGAACAATTTCCTAAATTCTTCTACCAAAACAATGAACTAAAGCCCTCACACTTCACACTATAAACAAACAGTAATTCAAAATGGAACACAGACCTAATGTAACAGCTAAAACTTCTAGAAGAAACTAAAGAAGAAAATCTTTGTGTCCTTAGATTAGGCAAATCTTAGATATAATATCCAAAGCACAATCCATAGAAAGAAATTGATAAATTATACCTCGTCAAAATTAAAAACTTTTACTCTTCAAAAGACAACATTAAGAAAATGAAAAGACAAGCCACAGATTGGGACAAAATATTTGCCCGTATACAAATCATGTACAGATGCTCCTCGACGTACAATGAGGTTATGTCCTGACAAACTCACCGTTAAATTGAAAATATCATAAGTCAAAAATGCATTTAAGGAGTCTCTCTGAACCTATTCTGGTTCGGGGGGCTGCCCAATAAAGAAAATTTTAAAATATTTTAAACACACCTTATCTACTGAACTTCATAGCTTGGCCTAGCCTACCTTAAATGTGCTCAGAACACTTATGTTAGCCTATAATTGAGTATAATTATCTAATACAAAGCTATTTTATAATAAAGCATTGAATATCTCATGCAATTTATTGAATATTGTATTGAAAGTGAAAAACAGAATGGTTGGTATGGATACTCAAAGTACGGATTCTACTGAATGTGTTATAACTTTCACACCATTGTAAAGTTGAATAATCATTTGTCAGGGACCATCTGTACTGATAAAGCATTTGTCTCAAGAATTTTTTTTTTTTTTTTTTGAAACACCTGGCTAGAGTGCAGGGGCATCATCACAGCTCACTGCAACCTCCAACTCCTGGGCTCACAAGATCCTCCTGCCTCAGCCTCCCAAGTAGCTGGGACTGTGTGCCACCAAGCTCAGCTAGTTTTTCTATTTTATTTAGGGATGGGGTCTCAGTTGCTCAGGCTGGTCTTGAACTCCTAGGCTCAGCCTCCTGCCTCAGCCTCCCAAAGTGCTAAGATTACAGGCGTGATCCACCACACCTGGCCTCTAGAATATTTTTTAAAAAAGAAATATCAATGTGCAGATGGAAGAATTTAAAAAACAGTAAAAATTTAAAAATCTGTTTAATAATAAGACAAACAATCCAACTAAAAAAATGGCAAAAGATTTAGACATTTTACTGAAGACATACAAATGGCTAACGAACACATGAAAAGATGTTCAAAATCATTAATCACTATGGAAATGCAAGTCAAAACCACGAGATACACAACCACCAGAATGGCTAGAATAAAAAAGACTGACAATACACACTAAGTACTGGTGACAACATAGAGAAACTAGAACCTTCAAATGTTTCTGGTAGGAATATACAAGGGTATAGTCACTTTGGAAAACTGCGTGGTGGTATACAAAAAGTTAAACATAAACTTTCCAGACAACCCAGCAATTCCACTTCTGAATATCTAAGCAAGAGAAAGGAAAACGTATGCCCACACAAAGGTATAACAGCCCCAAAATAAAGCAATCCAAATGTTCATCAATTGGTGACTGAATAAGTATGCAACGAAATATTATTACCCACTAAAAGAGAACAATTACTGATAGGCTCTGACAGGGATGAATCTCAAAAAATTATGCTAAGTGAAAGAAGTCAGAAACAAAAGCCTACATGTTAGGATTCTGCTTACATACAATTTCTAGAAAAGATAAATCTCTACAGACAAAAGCTGATTAGTGGCTACCTACGGTTAGAGGTACGAGAGATTAACTTCAAACAGGCACGAGGGAATTTTTGGGGGTGAGGGACATGTTACAAAACTGGATTATGGTGATGGTAGCACAATTCTGTAAATCTACTAAAAAATAATAAATACAACAGTGTATTTTATAGCATGTAAATTATCTCAATAAAGCTATTTAAAAAAATATTAATGATACATAGGGCAAGAAACCATTACTATGTTGTTCATCAGGCTATCCAAAATGCCTGGCTCAGTGCATGGCACACAGTAGATACTCAAATCTTTTCTGAATTTAAAAAAAAAAAAAGATTATGGAGCATCTACCTGTCAATTGG